ACAAAGCCAGTACTTTACCATGATGGTAGGTAAGACCATGGTAAAGGGAACTAAGTTAACGCACATAGGAAATACTTAGCACTCTGAGTGTTCATTGGAAGATAAGGCAGTAGGAACAAGGAGAAAGATGGCTCAGTAGAGGAAACTAATGTGGGTAACTAAAGAAGCTGAAAAAAATGACAAAGTAAAAATCATTGATGCTAAGCACCGGTGCCTCATCCATTGACTCTTAGTGACTCAGGAAGCTGACTGAGATCTAAGGGGTGAGGTTTTGAAGCCATCCCAAGCAGAAAAGCCCGTGAGATTACACCAAAAAGCCAGAAGTAGAGATGTGTAGCTCAAGTGGTAGAATATTATCCTTGAGTGGAAAGCTAAGAGACAGTACCCACACCCTGAGTTCAAGTCCCAGTATTGCCATCAAATAAACTGCTTACTGCTTTCAGCTACCATGTATTTGCAGTCCACCCCATAGTGACCACTGACAGCAAAAGTGGATTTCATCCAAATGGCAGTAGCAGGAGAATACACACTAGCTGTGCACGGGCAGTGATAGAAAGCACTTCCACGTTACCAGGTGTGCACTGCACTCAGCTGGGTTTGTGTCAACCCTGGGAAAATGAACAAGATTGCAGCAGGCAGACCTCAGCACAGCCCCAGTGACACTGAGTCATCAGCCTCGCTCAAAGGAAGAAAGTGGGAAAGCATTCTTGGAATGAGCCAAACTATCTGGAGAAAAGATCTCAAATGCAAACATTTCAAGGCTTCTATCCAAACAAAGTAGATGATTAGTAAACAAGTTCTGTCTTTTCACAGAGAACTTCCCTTCAGCACTTTACTTTGGGATGGAAGGTGGGAGGGGTGTGTGGAGCTGTGGCCTGGGCCTTGAATGTGTCAGTTCACACACTGATACCACTGAGCTTCTCCCTCCCCGCTTGTCAGCTTTCTTTGGCTCCTCACGTGGAAAATGTGGATGATAAAAGTTTTATCACACACTTTGAGAATTATCTACAACCTAAAAATCAGGGATCAAAACAAGCATGGAAGCCAGGAGTGGTGCAGACTTGTAATGCTATCAATCTGCTGAGGCAGGTAGATCTCAGGTTCTCAAGTTCAAAGCCAGCCTTGACACACACAGCCATATTTGTATTGTTACAAAAGGAATGCAAAAAACTACAAAGTCAAGCCCTTCTTCAACCTCATAAAATGCTTTACAAAAACCTACAATACTGGTGGGAAAGTAAAGGAAGGGGTAACATTGTCAAAAAAAAAAAAAAGAATGAAAGAAAGAAATGTACTCAGGGCTGGGAATGTGGTTTAGTGGTAGAGCGCTTGCCTAACATATGAAGCCCTGGATTTAATTCCTCAGTACCATATTAACAGAAAAAGCCAAAAGTGGCACTATGGTAGAGTACTAGCCTTGAGCAAAAAGAAGCTCAGGAACAGTGCTAGGCCCTGAGTTCAAGCCCCAGGACTGGGGGGAAAAAAAAGCTGGGTGCTGGTGGCTCACACCTGTTATCCTAGCTACTCAGAAGGCTGCGATCTGATGACCGTGGTTCTAAGCCAGCCCGGGCAGGAAAGTCAATGAGACTCTTATCTCCAATACCACCAGAAAAGCCAGAAGTGGCACTATGGCTCAAGTGGTAGAGCACTAGCCTTGAGCTGAAGAGTTGAGGGACAGCGCCCAGGCTTGGAGGTCAAGCCCCATGACCCACAAAAAAAAAAAAAAAGTACTCATTATTACCTGACTTATGAAATGGTAGCTCCTCTGTATAACACCTTAATAACAATAAAATTATTTTTATTATTAAATATTTTTAATTATTATAAAGGTGACATACAGAGGGGCTACCATTTCATAAGTCAAATAATGACTAATTTCTTTTTGGACAATGTCACCCCTTCCTTTGTTCTCTCCCAGTTTTTCCCTCTCATCCCAGCCTACAAGTTTAAAAAAAAAAAACAACCTAAGGTGGTTATAACCCCTCATGATAAACACTAGCAGCTTTACTCCTGTTATCAGAAATGTAACAATGATACATACTCTCCCCCATTTAATTTAAGATTGTATTAGAACTTTGAGTTAACGCCACAGTGAAAAACAAAAGGAAATAAACACAAAAAAAGGCAGCCAAGGCCAGGCATGTGATGCCAGCACTGGAGCGGAGGCAGGAGGAACAAGTGACCCTGTCTCAAACAAACAAACAAACACAAAAAGGCCCAGCCATAAAGAGAAGGAGAATTTTTATACACAGATAACATATAATCATCTCTGTTCAAAATCTGATGAAGGGGCTGGGAAGGTGGCTCAGTGGTAGAACACTTGCCTTGTATGCATGAGGCCCTGGGTTTGATTCCTCAGCACCACATAAGCAGAAAAAAAAGCTGGAAGTGGCGCTGTGGCTCAAGTGGTAGAGTGCTAGCCTTGAGTTGAAGAGCTGAGGGACAGTGCCCAGGCCCAGAGTTCAGGCCCCACGACCACACCAAAAAAAAAACATAATAATAATAATAATTTCTTAAAACAATTTAATTTCCCAAATTTTCTACAACATGCTATGGTGTTTTAGTAAACAAAATCAGTCTTTCAACACCAAGAGATTCCTACCTAAATGAGCACTGTTGAGCATGGTGACCAGTGCGGGCATAAGCTGACACTCAAATGTCCTGGGGCCTCCACAGTGGCCACAGGCTGGGACCTCAGTGATTCCTGACGTGGGACAGGACAGAAAAAGTGGCTCTCCACTCCAGGAATACCTAGGAAAAAGAAAGGAAGAGCACTGAATCAGAGCCACACGCATACAAGTTACATGCATGTATACACGCATACAAGTGGGAAAGAGGGAACAGCTGATGCTGTGCAAAACAAAAGAAATGTACATACCACCCAATGTGGAAGAAATAACTGTATTGCAAAGCTCATAGAACTCATGTTATAGACCATGATAGTTTGTTCCATGAAAGTTAGAATGTGTTTGTGACTTTAAGCATCACTATCCTACAATACTGTGAAATTTGGGAAATTATGTAACCATTTAATCACAATAAAAATTTTGAGGAAAAAAAAAACAACAAAACTCACTAGATAGGGGCAGGAAGCATAGCTCACATGTAAAACACTTGCCTGCGAATGCAAAGCCCTGAGTTCAAGTTCCAGTACCAACGTTTAAAAAAAAGGGGGGGCTGGCAATATGGCTTAGTGGTAGAGTGCTTGCCCAGCATGCATGAAGGCCTGGGTTCGATTCCTTAGTACCACATACACAGAAAAAGCCAGAGGTGGCGCTGTGGCTCAAGTGGTGGAGTACTAGCCTTGAGCAAATGAAGCTCATGGTCAGTGCCCAGGCTCTGAGGTCAAGCCCTAGGGCTGGAAAAAAAAAAGGAGTTTTGCTTCCTGGTATTAAATTATTGCACATGGTGAGATAAGATGGAACTGTTAGGGGAAGCTGAAAGGCATGCCTGAACTCTCAAATTTCTCTGCATTCTCATTTTTTTTTTTCTTCTGGTTGTGGGGCCTGAACTCTGGGCCTGGGCGCTGTCCCTCAGCTCTTCAGCTCAAGGCTAGCGCTCTACCACTTGAGCCACAGCACCACTTCCAGCTTTTTTTGCTTATGTGGTACTGAGGAATCAAACCCAGGGCCTCATGCATGCAAGGCAAGCGCTCTACCACTAAGCCACCTTCCCAGCCCTCTTCCCCCTCCCCCGCCCCATACAGGGACTCAAACTCACTGACACTTGCTTTTGCTCATTGGGTAAGCCAAGCCTCCCACCCTCAAATTATCTCAATATAGTTTGTTTTATTTTGATGCCAATCCTAGGGCTTGAACTCACGGCCTGGGTGCTGTCCCTAAGCTAAGTGCTTAAGGCTCGTGCTCTATTGCTTTGAGCCACAGCTCTGCTTCTGGGCTTTTGGGATGGTTAACTGGAGATGAGAGTCTCATGGACTTTCCTGCCCAGGCTGACTTCAAACCTTGATCCTCAGATCTCTGCCTCCTGAGTAGCTAGGATTATAGGCGTGAACCACCTGTACTCAGCTAGTCTTTGTTATCTTGCTCAGTTGGCACTCTGCCAACTTCAGCTATCCTTCCAGTCCAGCTTTTAGCTGGGTAACTGGAGATAAGAGTCTCTCAGGTTTGTCTGCTCAGGCTGGCACCTGAATTCTCAGATCTCAGACTCTCAAGTAGTGAAGATTACAGGCATAAGCCACTGGCGCTCAGCTTGGTTTTTTTGGTGTTTTTTTTTTTAAAAGACAGGGTCTCAGCTGAGTGCTGGTGGCTCAGGAGGCTGAGATATGAGGATCAAGGTTCACACCCAGCCCAGGCAGAAAAGTCCACATGAGACAATCTCCAATTAATCACACACAAACCAGAAGTGGAATTGTAGCTCAAAGTGGTAGAGTACTAGCCTTGAGCAAAAGGGCTCAGGCCCTGAGTTCAAGCCCCATGAACTAGGTGGGGGGGAGGGAGGAAGGGAAGAGTCTCTACTGTGCAGGCTGCCTTTTGACTTCCAGGCTCAAGCGATCCTCCTGCCTCAGTCTTCCAAATAGCTGGAATTACAGTTGCACACCAGCATGCATTACTCCCACAATAGTATTTTTTTAAAAAGAAAGAAAATCTACTTTCTTTACCTCAAAATCTGGTCCTGACAAGCAGCAATTCTCTTCATGAATTTGTAAAACATTTGATCGCCACTTTTAATTTTGGTCTTCTCATATTTTTCATCACCAGCATCAGAAAAACTTAAGAGAAAAGCAAAAAACACTCTTAGTGTGAATAGTCAGAGAATTATAATACTTAGGAGAGCAAACAAGATTTTTTTTTTTGTGCCAGGACTGGGACTTAAACTCAGGGCCAGGGTACTCTCCCTTAACTTTGTTTCTCAAGGGAAGCACACTACTATTTGAGCCAGTCTCTACTTCTAGTTTTTTTGGAGGTTAATTGGAGATAAAGGGTCTCATAGAGTTTCCTGCCTTGGTAGCTTTGAATCATGATCCTCAAATCTCAGCCTCCTCAGTGGCTGGGATTACAGGCCTGAGTCACCATTGCCCAGTAGAAAATTATTTTCTTTATTTTTATCTTTTTGTTGGCCATGGGGCTTGAACTCTGGGCTTGAGGGCGATCCCACAGCTCTTCAGCTCAAGGTGAGTGCTCTACCACTTGAGCCACAGCACCACTTCCGGTTTTTCTAGTGGTTTATTGGAGAGAAGTCTCATGGACTTTCCTGCCCGGGCTGGCTTTGAACTGTGATCCTCAGATCTCAGCCTCCTGAGTAGCTAGGATTACAGGTGTGAGCCACGGGCGCCCAGCGAAAATTATTTTCTTTTAAAGAATTTAGAGGCTGGAGGCAGAGCTAAGTGAGAGCATACTTGCGTAGTAGGTTCAAGGTCCTGAGTTCAAAACCCCAGTCTGCCCAAAATAAACAGACAAATTAAATGAAATTCATTAGCTGAGTGCCAGTGGCTCATATCTGTAATCCTAGCTACTAAAGAGGCTGAGCTTTGTGGTTCAAAGCCAGCACAGGCAGGAAAGTCTGTGAGACTCCAATTAACTACTCAGAAAAAGCCAGAAGTGACACTGTGCTTCAAGTTGTAGAACAGCCTTGAGCAAAAAAAAAAAAACAGCTCTGAGTCAGCACCCAGGCCAAGTTCAAGCCCTAGGATCCATGGAGGGGCAGAGGAGGGATTAGGGGATAAGGCTGTATAGCTCAATCAGTGGCAGAACAGGTATTTAGCACATACAAGAGCATGGGTGTAATTCCCAGCACCACAAAGAAAGCACAAAACTGATCTCTCAAATACATGTACAGCCCCGCCATTCTCCCAAACCAATTTCAATAGTAACAGGCCATTATGTCTGTTGACTGTCTCCATAGAGGCATAGATTATTTTCATAAATCGTTCGTCAAACATCAACATGTCCTTTTAACATTATTCTGAGAAGGGGCTGGGAAGGTGGCTCAGTGGTAGAGTGCTTGCCTTGCATGCATGAGGCTGGGTTTGATTCCTCAGCACCACATAAGCAGAAAAAGCTGGAAGTGGCGCTGTGCCTCAAGTGGTAGAGCGCTAGCCTTGAGCTGAAGAGCTGAGGGACAGCTGAGGCCCCAGGACTATTCTGAAAAGAGCTGACAAGAGAAACAGCTCTGATAAAGGACGTTTCATTATTTTTCTCATGGTGTGGGGTTGGGGTGGTGAGTTTTGGCTTTTTTTTTTCTTCTAATTTTCAGATAGTGTTTGACACTGCTGCCCAGGTCAGCCCAGACCTTGATGCTACTATTTATTTTTTTTTTCAGTTGTAACTCCAGACAGGATCCAAAGAGGAGTTTTACTGCCTCATCTCTGGGTTTTATGGAGATTTCATTTACCCTTCTGTGTTAGCCTCTTAAGACACGGGTCAACCTTAAAAGGGCACAGGAAAGGGCGGCTACTATTTATTTAGCAAGCTTCAAGAATAGCTAGGATGACAAGGGCCCACTACCAAGCCCAGCTTTATTGGTTGATGGACTCTTTTTTTTTTTTTTGTCAAGGGGCTTGAACTCAGGGCCTGAGCTCTTTTTGCTCTAGGCTAGCACTCTATCCCTTTGAACCATGGCACCAATTCTGGTTTTCTGGAGATAAGAGTCTCACGGACTTTTCTGCCTGGGCTGGCTTCAAACCATGATCCTCAGATCTCAGCCTCCTGAGTAGCTAGAATTATAGGTATGAACCACCAGCACCTGTCTGGGATGATTTTCATCCTGGTGTGCTTTGAAATGAGGCTGTTCTGATCTTTGCCTCCTGAGTTTCTGGGATTATAGGTGTGAGCCACTGTACCTAGTCTCACCTTTCATTTTCTTGAGTGCAGTTATCAATAAAGCCATGTGTTTGCAAGCTAACTCATGTTGCCCGGTAAGAGCTCGCCCACCTGTGTTGCTGTTTCTTACCCAAGGAGTGAAGCAGAAAGGTCCTATACACCACATGTGTTCGTCCTGAAGTGTCCCTAAGAACCGAGGCAAAGTCTAAGGTGCCTGCTGTGTGTGGTACCTCCCTACCTCAGCAGCACCCATTCACCTTTGGGAAAGCAACTGGTCCATATGAATTCCTTCTCGCTGCTCGTAGTCCCTCAGGAGGTTGTAGGCATGATCGAGACTGACCAAGTCTCTGAAGTCCTCCTCGTCGACCACACAGATGTAGTAGGGCTGGAACTGTGGCACTCCAGTGGGGACAGCCATTCCTCTGTGCTGAGATGCAGGACAGGCCGCATCCACGCCAGTGTCCTTCAGGGAGAGGCCCTGGAGCTGCACTGTGCAGTCTGCGTCCTTGGCACAATAGGAATCCTTTCCAAAGTCCAAAGGAAGCTGGGGGGCAGGCGTCTCCTCTCCGTCACTCCCCCAGTCATCTGCACCTTCACACCAGTTCTCAGCTGCAAGGCCACTTTCCTGTTTCTGAAAGATAACCAGCAAATAAAGAGCAATCATGCTTAGATTTCACACAGAGATTTCATCTGTACCTTGTCTTTACACCATCTGTTCCCCTCTGGGGAACCCCAATCCAACTTCTTGGATTCCAGCTATTTATTATCATGTGGTAGATAATTTCAGTACTTGCTTTCCTTTCCAGGGAAGGCAGCCTAGCCTAGGTAGCCCATCATGTTTTCAACCATCTGTTCTAAAATCTTTTTGTTGCACATCATGTACTGCAGAAACTGAAGGAAAGAACTACATTCTTCAGACTCCTTTAGCATCTAGGGTCTTAAGGTTTGATCAGGAGTCTAAGTAGGTCTATCACAGAGAGACACAAACTTGAGACCACCAAAAATAGATCTAAACGTGGACAGAATAAAGAAATGTCATGAGCTGAGCACCAGTGGCTCCTGCCTGGAGCCTCTCCAGGAGAATGAGATCTGAGGATTGTGGTTTGAAGCCAGGTGGGGCAGAAAAGTCTGTGAGACTCTTATCTCCAATTAACCACCCAGAAACTGTAAGTGGATTAGTATCTAAAAGTGGTAGAGCCCTGGCTTTGAGCAGAAAAGCTCAGGGACCATGCCTAGGCCCCATGACCCAAAAAACACAAACAAAACAACAACAAAAAAAAGCCATGAAGCAAAGGGGAATAAGTCTGAAGCACAGTAGGTGTCCAGCATGGCCCCCAGTTTACCTAACTACTGTTGAGCTTCCTGACTGCAGGCAAGGTAGTTAGTATGACACACCAGCCAGTTGTAAAATGTAGTTTCCAGGCTGAGTACTGGTGGCTCACTCCTGTAATCCTAGCTACTCAGAAGGTTGAGATCTGAGGATCACAGTTCAAAGCCAGCCCGGGCAGGAAATCCATGAAACTCTTATCCCCAATAAGAAGTGGTGTTGTGGCTCAAGTGATAAAGCCACTGAAGAGCTCAGGGACAGCACCCAGGCCCAGAGTTCAAGCCCCACAACTCCTCTCCCCCACCCCAGAACACCCCCCACACACACACACAAAAGTGGTTTCAGAGGTCATTCCTGACTTTACGTTCTGCAGCCTATCAAATTAGTAAGTCCTTGTGTTAAGTTTTAGGGTTAAGTCTGTGTCAGCTTATCTATTATCAGATACTGAACAGACAGATATACTCATCTTTTTATTTCCTATATTATTGGTACTGTGTCTCTCATATATTAAACAGTATATAGAGATCTACAGCAACTGCAAACAAAATGGGCTGAAACTCAAGGCCTGGGAGCTATCTTTTAGCTTTTTCCCTCAAGGCTAGTGCTGTCACTTGAACCACACCTCCAATCTGCCATTCTTGCTAGTTAATTGCAGAGAAGGGTATTATGGCCTAGCTGCCCAGGCTACCTCTGAACCCCAGTCCTCAGATTTTCACTGAGTAGCTGAAATTACAGGTGTGAGCCACCAGCATCTGGCTTATGTAATATGAGTTGCTATTCACTGGGAGAAAGTTCCTCCTATGGTCTGGCCTCAGGCCCTCCTGCTGTTGGAAATTTACTCTCTCCCCTGAACCTCCTTTTCCCTGGGAAAAGAATATCCATGGGAACAAAAATGTGGGGAAAAAAAAAACAAAACAGAAGAAGATTATTGATAAAGGGCAAAAACCTCTTGGTAAAGGAAAACCCCAGACAAAGACTGACTGGTACTCAGCCTTTGCCTCTTCTCCATCCTTGCTAAAAAGCAAAACAACATCGCTCCTTCACTCAAGTTTACCAAGCTGGCAGCTTTGCAGAAGGCTACTGAGAACCTTAGGCTTATTACCAGCTGCACTGAGCTGCTGTATTAGTCAGGAGCTTATAATACAAATCATTTCTGTAGTAGTGTCAATCACATTGATAATATTGGTCATGCTGACCAAGACAAGATTATGTTTCACCTATGCTCCTGTGACTCGAGACTATGTGTTGCTATGTTTCGCTTCTGTAACCTTGCTTGCCTGAGTAACAGGGCCTTAAGCCCACCAATTAAAGACCACCACCGAGTGGTCCCACTATGAGTGGCCTATTGCAAATTATTATGATATTTACCATATAGCATGGTATTTACCATACAGAACAAGTAATTAAAGATCATGTAATTATAACCAATAAACAATGTGCCAAACCTGCCTTGCATGGCTCATCTATATAACTCTGTGTAACCTACCTCTATAAAAACCCATCCTACCTTAGCTCCTACTTCCCTGGTGGTAGAAAGTGGTCCCCACGTGGTGGTAATAAAGTTCTTAGCTTATTTAACTAGATGTTTTGGAGTCTCTTTTGGATACAGGATATG